TATATCAAAATGTGCTTTAAATCCTCTTGTACACATATGGTGTGTATGTATTTCTTGCATACATTGGAAGTTAAGTCATAAGAGATGTTATAATCTCATTGAAGCTGCATTATTGTAATCCAGGCTACGTTGAATATTACAAAATCTCTTTGTTCTGTTTGTTTATTAAGAAAAAAAAGGAGAAAGGATCAACCAAAGCACGAGCAAACAAACTCACCACTGAGGTTACTCGTGTCTGTAGAGCAAGAAACTCTGGACTGGTTTTGTCAGCAAAGGCTGCCATGAAATTTTCTAGCAAACTAAATCCCAAATTAATTCTAGGCTCCAGCTGTGGGGCAGGTGGTGTTGTGGTGGTAGTTGTAGTAGCAGTAGTTGTGGTTGTAGTTGATGTTGTTGTTGCCAGTGATCCAGTTACAGGTGTAGAGCTTGTATTACCTACAAAAAAAGGAATTTTCTGTTTTTTATTTGTTTGTTTTTTTGTCAAGTACGAGCCACTATTGCACATTATATTTCTTAGCAGTCCTTCAAACTGCAAAAAATAAAATAAAAATAGCAAACAGASTGGTATTAACAAATTGACAATAATAAAAGTTAAAATACCTGGCATTGTTACTGATGTAACTGCTTGTGGAGATGGGATGCTGACTGGTAAAGTTATATTAGATGCTGGCGATGTGATGTTAGCAGTAGATAAGGTTGTGCTGAGTGGAGGTGAGGTCATGTTAAATGATGGTGAAGTTGCACTGACTGGTGGAGAAGTTGCATTGAGCCGAGGTGAAGTCATGTTGAATGCTGGTGAAGTTGCACTGACTGGTGGAGAAGTTGCATTGAGTGCAGGTGAGGTCATGTTGAATGATGGAGAAGTTGCACTGACTGGTGGAGAAGTTGCATTAAGTCGAGGTGAAGTAATGTTGAATGCTGGTGATGTTGCAATGAATGGTGGAGAAGTTGCATGGAGTGAAGGTGAGGACATGTTGAATGCTGGTGAAGTTGCACTGACTGGTGGAGAAGTTGCATTGAGTGCAGGTGAGGTCATGTTGAATGATGGAGAAGTTGCACTGACTGGTGGAGAAGTTGCATTAAGTCGAGGTGAAGTAATGTTGAATGCTGGTGACGTTGCAATGAATGGTGGAGAAGTTGCATGGAGTGAAGGTGAGGACATGTTGAATGCTGGTGAAGATGCACTGACTGGTGGAAAAGTTGCATTGAGCAGAGGTGAAGTAAAGTTGAATGCTGCTGAAGTTGCATTGAATGCTGTTAAAGTTGCATTGAGTGGAAGTGAAGTAATGTTGAATGCTGGTGAAGTTGCACTGACTGTTGGAGAAGTTGCAATGAGTGGAGGTGAAGTAATGTTGAATGCTGGTGAAGTTGCACTGAATGTTGGAGAAGTTGCTTTGAGTGGAGGTGAAGTAATGTTGAATGCTGGTGAAGTTGCATTGAGTGGAGGTGAAGTAATGTTGGATGCTGGTGAAGTTGCACTGAATGTTGGAGAAGTTGCTTTGAGTGGAGGTGAGGTAATGTTGAATGCTGGTGAAGTTGAAATGAATGGTGGAGAAGTTGCATTGAGTGGAGGTGAAGTAATGTTGAATGCTGGTGAAGTTGCAATGAATGGTGGAGAAGTTGCATTGAGTGGAGGTGAAGTAATGTTGAATGCTGGTGAAGTTGCAATGAATGGTGGAGAAGTTGCATTGAGTGGAGGTGAAGTAATGTTGAATGCTGGTGA